TTATTTTATTTTATCGTAGTTGTAAGCTTCGTTTTTTTAAGTGACAGATTAACCGATCTGTTGGGGATGTCAGATACCCAGAACTCGCTTAATAAAGGTCCTGATTTTGGATTTTATGCTTCCGACTACATTTCCCACCCGCGAAATCCTTAGCTGTCATTGGTTGATGTATTATTTTGGTAAGTTATTTTTTGTGTCTCTCCAAAGGACGTTTCTATCATGTATAAAAAACTTGATTTGTGAGCTGGTCAACCTCATATTTTCTGGGTTCTTGTAGAATAAATACACTTTCTATGCCATATCATGACTTCTTCCTCTACTTAGTGGGAACTCTCAGATTAGAGTAGCTTGTCGTGTCATTGGATCATTTGTCTTCGCTCTTGTTTACCGACTAAGGTGAACTTGTAATAGTTTCAAGCAATATCAATTGACAAACATATCACCATCCTATAATTTTAGCTGATCATTAATTATAGCAAATTAACAAAAAAAATCTTATTATTCATCTATGTGTTACAAATATCCTACTTCATTATGTAACCATTTACTGCGGTACATTGAGGTCTTACGTCCTGTGGATATGATCATATCGGTGTTTAATAATGCATACTATAAGATATGTGTGAATCCTTTCGACATTCTCATTGGAATGTATAAAATTCACAGATCCTCGTCTCCGGAGGTAAGGTATTTTGGAGAGCGAAGCTAACAAACTCCAAAATCTTTCAATAAACTGGCCATACCTGATCGACATCAAGCAATTTTCCCTTACTCTCTACAACCATGCTCCTAAGTCACTATACAAACAGAACCAGCCTATGTTTTCAGGTTCTTCAAGAAATAACCTTCCACACTCTAGACACATACATTAGCCTAAGGGATTAAGTCAAATCAAATTAATTACATGTAGACACACTCACTTTAAAAAACAATATCTTTAATTGAGGAAGAGAAAAAATAAGAAACAGATCAGTCTACAAAAATTTACATCAATTCATTATTATCATTATTACAAAACATAATCAACCAGAAGATAAGAAATTATTAAAATTAAAAATCTGGATGTATAAAAATTAAATTTAAATTAAATTTAAATTAAATAATGAGATAATTGGTTAGTGAATTCAAAGATTCCATTTTAAAAAGCAAGCACATTAGAGGTGAATAATGATAATGATAAGTGTGTGTGTGTTCGTGTGTGCTTTTTTTGTGTTTGCACTAATTTAAGGATAGAAATCAGGCTTTTGCAAAAAAATTATCTAAATTGATGCATTGTGTGCGAGCATGCGTGTGTATATATATGTTCAAGATGACATCAATTTGAATGAACCTCCTTTTTTTCAATTGTTTAAATTGAATTCAATGGAATTTAATGTTATTTTATCAGTAACGTACTGGATTATGGACACTCTACATATGACAGAGTTTTTAATAATGAGTTTATTATTTTAGCTCTTAGAATTGCAGTTATTTTACTGAGCTACAGGAATAAAAGTGTACCGAGCATGGAATTTATGTGGAAACATCAAAAAATTAATCCTGTTTAATGCAGTATCTAGAAGGAAGCTAACTGACAACGATACGAATCAGCTACTTTGTCAGATATACTATATGCATTATAGTGTAGTGAAGGAGAATACAGGTGGGGCAACCGGATTGTATTTAGCGAAAATTATAGAGTTCTCAGTTAAATCGGAAAACAATATCGTAAATTGTTCATTTGCAAAATATCAGTTCATCATATCGAACTGGACTGTTCCTGTTGCGAAACATCAATCCATTGTCACTATTCATGCGTTTCATACAAATTCCATTGTTTTCCCACTCTCCCTTTCTTGATCTTCCCCCATCTTCTGCTACCAAACATTATGTTTGCACTCACGTCATATACTACTTATAAGTAGCTCGCACCACAATAGGATTGTGGAGATTGTTGGGTTACTTTCAAATCATCAATCGATCAATGTTAGACCACCATTGGAAACCTGAAAATACTGGACGGCCATTTCGTCTTGGTATGGGACTCATGAGTAGTATCAGTATCCACAACCCCCACTCGAAGTAATTAAACTCAGGACCTCTGGTTTTGCCCGTGAACGCTTAACCTCTAGACCACTGAGCCGATATCCAACGGTGTTAATGTCTAACTTCGATCAATCCACGGTCTCATGCAACTTCGTCCATAATTTTCGGTTAGCACTGCTTCCCACCCGACATTGTTGAACTCCACTGATCACTACTTCTCACTAGAACTCGTCCAGTGCTTTCAGGTTTCCCATTGGTGATCGAACAGTGATTGATTCATGAGTTCAAATAAAAGTTGAGTAACAATTATACTAGAAGTGTTAACATTTAAGTACTCCTTATCAAAGACTTCTGATGTAACATGTCATCGCTTCAATCATTGCTTATTGAAAGCAATACATTTTTTAAACTATTTTGAATATCACATTTAAAATCAACCTCAGATTCCTTAAACAAAAAAATGATTTAAAGCTAGTTCCTTATGAACAATAAAATTTTCAATAATAAATGCATGCAGAAAAAAAGGAAAATCGACAATCAAATTATTCATCTCTGTCTCATTCGAAAATTTTTATTTTCAAATCAATAAATTCTACAACAAAATTTATTTCGGTCATATTTTCTAAGCTTATTACTCTTTCTGTCTTTTATAAGGTTGATTACTTTTTTCTATTTTTAAATGCAAAAAAATGGCAACTCTTTTAAATATTATAAAATGGAAGAAAGGTTAGTAAAAAGTTATTTTTTTTTCTCTAATATACGTGCCAGATTAGATAGAATAAGTGAAGAAAAATGAATATAATTAAATGTGGATAGACAGTTATAAACATTTTTCTACCCTCTATGTTCATAATAATAAAAATATACGTATTACTACTCATGGTGATAGATATCATGTTGTTGATCTAAGTTGAGTCAATATGCTGATGAGTCTTATACAGGGACGAAACGGCTGTTCAGTGAATTTCCAGGTCTCTAATGGTGGTCTAAACTTTGATCAGTTCATGATTTCAGGGAGTAAATAAACTATCTCCACAACCCCATAATGTGATATATCATAAATTAGTCATTGACTTGATAATCATATACGTAATAAAATGATCTCTAATGTCTTTCCTTGTGAAATGTACAAATAAGTCAATATTAGATAGAATATAAATATTTCGATAAGATACAGTTTATTTACAAAAAATATGTAAGCATCATCTGTATACATCCATTTGTAGTATAAACAAATTATTAACCGCCTTCTTTCACATCTTCTCTGGCTTTCATTACTCTATGATCGCATGATGCATTGTTATCTCTAGTAACTTCAGTCTAGTAGCATCTTCCAAGTGATACTCCGCTGCATACTACTTGTCTACAACCCTATGAGTAGTATCCATCAAACTTAAAAGTAGAGTGTTATATAATAGTATCGATAAATATCAAACTCCATTTCGTATAACATACTTGAATACGTAGGTAGTTGTAGTGCAGTAAGATGTAAATTTCATTATAAACACTAGGTTATAATTCAATAAATTTCCATTAATGTTTTAAAGAAAGTTTTTGCTAATAACTAACTTCGAATATATATAGAAAGCAACTAAATATCATAATTCTCTAAGAAGTAATTTTGTCTTAATTACACAGTGAGCATATTTCCATCCACATTGGATCAATCATGTGTTCAGTTGTTGATATGAAAAGATGAAACTTTTCAAACTACAGCAATGTATGATTGATCGAACCTATTTACATAAATAACAATACTTTTATCATAGATTTATCCTATGATACATTTGTAAGACTCAAATATCGTATTATAACATTGATGACAATTAAATCAGTTAGAGCAATCTGATGTTTGAGTGGATAAGTATGATAGGGATCAGTAAAAGCTGATTCAATGACATTGAAAATAGTTTTAGTTTTTCAATTAACTGCATTTGTTATGAAGGAACGTTTTTAAACATGTTCAATTTTTCAAAGGAATGTAGGATCCAGAGTGAGGTTTGGACTGAGAAATAACTGTCTAGGTAGTTTAGATATCCTCTATTTATCATTTAAAACCAAAACAAAGTGACTGGATAAATGATGGTTCTAATATTCATCATAAATATAAATATACATCATTACTTAAACAAATATTACCAATCAGATATTCCACCAACAATTGTTCAAATAATCAAATCAACAGCAACAAATAAATGTTATTCTATCCCTCCTGGATAGATCAGATTCGTTTGACATACAATATTTGGTTGCTTTATAACACAAAGTGTTTCCTATTCTGGAAGAGTGCATCAATTCACAATCAAAATTAACAATTCCAGTCAAAGCAAGCAATCCAATCAAAACAGGAACAAATCAACACGGCTGTGGCCATGACTAAGTATCATCTTCAACAACATAAATGCAGTTCAGAAAGAAACATAGAAACTCAGTGAAGGCAAATGAAATAGAAACTATAATAAACTACAAATATTACCATCTCAAAAATGGAATCGAACAGATTAACAAAATGTACATCTGAATGAATCAGTAAGAACGAATTACAAATTTATACATAGAGAGATTTTCACAAACAAAGCCTTCAAAATTGGATCTTACAGGAAGCATCAATGTGCAAATAGGCAACTTAAATTATTTGTCATTAAAAAGATTATGACGTTTCAAAGCTTTTCGATAAATTCACTAGTTAGTGGTTGAAATTAATACAATGGTAATATTTATCATAGCTAGCTAAGTACAACATATGTAAGTCGATTTTAAAATGTAAGTGTTCAGTGGACACATAACCTAATGAATACTATTTATCACCACGACTAATCAAAGTTTGATTGTTAAAGTAGTAGACAGTTATTGCCTAACTGGTAATGTGAAGTTTTACTAGTCAACCATAAATTGTAAAATATGTTTCTAATAAAAATTATACTAAATTTTTATCAATTTATATATATTTGCAACTGGTCAACAATAAAACTTACTGCAAAACGTGCCAAAATATTCGCTCCAGCACCTTCACCAAAAAGAACCACTTGTTTTATTCTTTAAACCGAGAAAAGAAAAAAAGGAATTCCAAACAAAATTTAATTTAGTATATTTTTAATTAATCATAACAAAATTGTATCTTATCAATCATGTAATTTAGTTTTCTATGCTAAAGAATATTGAACACAAATGACTATATCACTTGAAATAAAAATTTCATCAGCTATAAAATATAAAAATCTTGAAGTAAAAGCGAAATATCGGTTTCAGTTTTTCCCAATTTTCACTTAACCTGTAGTGCAAATTTTTAAGTGAGGTAAAAAAATACTTGACTGTTTTACACGGTTGCAAACTAAAATCAATTGATGTATGTAGGATACTTTTTTCAGCTTGAAAATTATTCACTCATATCATCTGATTTGCTAATTGGTCAACATAATGGGTTGGAATGTTTCAAGGTCATTTGTCACAATCAGTCTAAAAATTATCCGAGTAAAATAATCCTGTATATATTTTTCAAATGTCACAAGTGAAGTTTGAAAATAAACTTTTCAGTGGATCGTTTTTCCTCAACACATTATTTAATACAAACGAGAAAATAATTTTCTAGATTATTCAAAGCTAATAGAATGAAAATTATTCATATCACAAAAATAAATCGAATAGAATTATGATGTGAATCAGCTAAAATCAATTTTTTTCTAGTTATTTTTAAATTTCATTCAATCAAATTATCATTATCGCTGAAAAAGTCTTGACTATTAGTAGAGTTGTTGTGATTTATTTTGCGCGTGTGTGTGTGTGTGAATGTGTTTGTTTAATTAAACTAAAGTCTTATTTATTGGTCGGCCATTGTTATTTGTCTATTTTTTCTGCTTCTTTTAAATAAACCAATTTAGTAAACAGCTGTTTATGAATGAATCATAAAATGAGAAATAAACAAGCATTTAACTCTGAATTTATTTTAAAGATAATCAGTGGCTGCCTCTAACTAGCTTAATCACCTCGTTTCAGAAGTAACAACAACAACAACAAAACTTTACGTATCCTTAGGCAATGAAAAATGAATGTTTTATAGTTGACAATGAGTTGATGTATTCATAAAGACAAACAATTTATTCTTATTCAATCGTAAATAAAAAAAATAAATAGGCTGAACTTGATCGTTTATGTAGTAGTCTACACTGGATCACTTGTAAAAAAAGGATGAGATTTTAAAATTTTTTCTCAAAGATCCTTATTGTTTAAAGTAGGGTAATGCAGAAAATTAGCAAAATAAATAATGTTTCCAATCAGATCTTCATCAGACTTTACTCTAGTAAACACTAGTGATATTTGTATGCATCTATAGAAAAATATTGAACCAACGAAGACCATTCATACGTCAGTAATAGCAAACGAATGGAATACATTTATTTTCTAGTCGACTAACAGTTTCTAATTAAACTAGGTATATGTTATTTACTTGGCAAAATAAGTGAGCGATTTCCTCCATGATTTGAACAGGTCCAAACAATAACAAACCTAATAATCATTTTTAGTAATCTATGCTATTCTTTTGTTATTTCTTAATGGTATTCTATCTCATCTCTTGCAGATAGCAAAGGCCATGGAGATTTAAACGCTCAACCTTAATCAACCGCATAAAACTGGTTTGTAAATAAGTGTATGATCTTAAATCATAGAATAGTATTACAAAAATGAGCAAGATGAACATTTCATTCTACATGGGACACGTGAGCTTGATTTACCTTAATCTCAGAGTTAATGTTCTCTATAAGGCTTGAACTGCAATAGCAGTAAACACTTATCAACCAATTTTAAATATCCACTGTCTCGTGAGATGCAGTGAATTGAATTTAAGATTCAAAGAACGGATACAAATTAATTAATCCTCACCCTGGTGCACAAGACAGTGACCATATGGACTCACTAGCTATGTGGATGATACGATGGCGCTCGAAGCGCACAATACTAGGCTCCAGACACGGCGTGAACATTAAACCCAAAAGGCAGATACATCAGGCTATCGACTTTGAAACAAAAATGAAAAAGTCTATCCTTGTTTCTAATGCTCGCTCTGCTTATAATGTTTATGACAGTATCAAGATAATGCGCAAAGAATGTAGTGCATATATAAAAAGATACTAAACAACTATAGTCTTATATATATATATATATATATATATATATATATATATATATATAAGGGAAGTTATGACCAAGAAACTATGTTAATCAGTAACTTAACTTTATAGAGAAAATCTCTAATATAGACTGAGTTTCGATTTCTTTTTTCTTCAATGTAGTCATGTTACATAAAACAGTTATTTTTTATTTCTTTAAATATCAAAATACATCCTGCTTATAGTTTTATCACTTGACCTAAAACTGATTGTTTCTTCCTGCCTACTACGACTACTACTACTTCTGTATCCTCCTGTCTTCTTTATCATTTTGATGTTGTCAAATATATTATAGTATAATTCTTTGTGTTCTACTATTTTATGAAATTCCTCTCTTTTTTTATAACTAGATAGGATATATCAGGATATACGTATAGGTATATACAAATGTTGTATCCTGTATTGCTAGCTAGTTAAGGCAACAAACAAGTTAACTTGTCTAAACTATTTCAATTTTATCAATCCTGCGTCTACATACCAAAATGTTATATCTAAACTGTAAGTGAATCTAATACAGAAAGAAAGAAGAAAAAATAATTCCTAAAGATTGTATTCCAGAATTCAAGTTATATTAAAAAAATAAAAGTATATGGTCAGTATTTCGGTGGTATGCCGGAAATAACAGAGTAAAGTGCATAGAATCCTGTAGGGAAATCAATAACTTTTTTTTGTGGTAAAATATAATCCTTGTGTACTCATATATATATATATATATATATATATATATATATATATATATATATATGTATATAACCAATAAATACATTTAAACAGTACCACAGACAAATTGCAATAGCCATATATCAAACGAATAATCAATATCGGTAGACAATAATGTGTTCAATTATTTTCAAGCAGTCAAAAAAAAGATTAGAATAGAGAATGGTTTTCAAAATGTCAAATGAAAAGAAAGCACATGTCGAAAAGTATATATATATGTATATACATATGTAACACCATAATACTAATAATGATAGTAGTAGTATGAACAAACTAATGTTTTTCGATTGTTGAACATTGAAAATAGATAGAAAAAGTATGTATATATGCACAAATTGTACATATATTTGGAGAATGTCATTATTGCCATGACTATATATACATAACGACGACGTCATAACTAACATAAAATGATATGTGTAGATATCATTTGGACTATTTGATTTTATACTTTCTGTATTTATTGATATATAGCCTAGACATGGATATATGTGTTTTATATGTAAAAGATTTTTCCGTAATTAGGTTTCATAGTTGTTACTTTTTTCAGGGCAAAAGGTAGTTGAGGTACACAGATTATACAATAAACTATTTACGTTTATCTTGGCACAGTTTTCCTCACTTATGTCACATTTACTGAATAGTAGAATAACATTTACATGAATTCGCATACCACTATCCAGATAGATATCGAGATAACAGTTGCATGTTTACTAAGGATTAATTGTAAGTTTGATTAATCGAAATAACTATTAGTGTCTCTAATCTATAAAGTTAACTATTTTTTCATGTGAAATAATGCTTTGTCAATGAGATAGAATAAATGTGTGCTACTTTGCTGTATGTATGATGAATTCCTGGTACGTTGTATCAGTTTGGTTTTAAGGCATCGATTACTGAGATGTTCCTGACTAGAGCTATTTTTTCGGGGTGTTCCTAGTAACTTTATTGATAATGTTAGTTCGAGTTCAGATTACCCAATAACGGAACATGATTAGTTCTATATAAAATAGGTATATCTATTAACAATTTATCGATGCACAGTACCAAAGTTGGTCAATGCGGTCACCTGGTAGCCGGTGACTAATTATAGGTTCATATACCACATATACCATATATCCTGGAACTTGTTTGCACCACTGATTTGAAATTAGGGTTTTTCAATTGCTCTAGGTAGATTTTCTGTACCTATCAACTTGGTTCAAGTGCTGGACTTTCTGTTCTCATCCTTTCGATCTCATAAACAACTTTCTCATCATGAGAAGGTAGTAAATAGGAATTCCATGACAGTAACCATAGACGCTTGGTCATTTGAGAGTATTTGAAGATGAAGAACAAACTTTCTCCACACTCGGCCATACCACAGCATTTGCGGGCAATTTCAGCACCTAACTATGCTGTAAGACTTATAGATAGACAATAGACAGAAATTTATTAGTAATGAAGCCATTCATAGTAATTCAAAGGTCGGAGAGTCATTCTGTTTAAAAGTAGAATACCAGGTCAATAGTTTGTAGAAAGCTATCCATCCCAATGATCATACTAAAAAATTTATCAATGAGAATAACATAGCATGTCACCATTTAAAAAAAAATGTCAATCGATCGGCTGACAGAATCTCACTACTTATCAAGATGAAATGAGAAAGACAGTATTTCACTATATCACAATATAAATAAAAAGACACTGACAATAATTCTATTTACCAAAAAAAAAATGATTGAAAGGATATTATTACTTGAACAATCTTTACATAGAATATGAAGTGACACTCCATTAAAAATACACTTATCTATAGTTAAACTTCATAAGAACAGTAAACAAATAAAAGATTGTGTTGATTATTTGTTCAAAATGAAATTTTCTATTTTTACAAATATTCATGTGCACAGCATTAGATTGCCTTTTATCAGCGAACAATGAAAGTATACTGCATGACTGCATGATTGTACAATGAAACCAAAACTGAAAAATTTCAAGAGATGAATTTTATATATATATATGTACATACGTACACATATATTTGTTTATTTAATGTAGAGAAGAAATCCGAAATAGAACATTTTCATAAAGGAATCAAAATCGGGAGAAGAATTTAGATTAACACTCACGAGAATTCGATAAAAAGTATGAAAAGCAACAACAGTCTTT